GCAAACTCAGCTCACAGCATATGTGACATGTGGCACTTTTCTTGTTCTATTTCACCTTCACCCCAAACCACATCCTCATTCTGCACCTGACAGTCGGTTGACTGAACATATTTGAAAAGTAAATGCTCTTCTGAGGCACACCGTGTTGTTTGCATTCTGTCAGATAAGCTCTGTCCTCAATACGCCACCCACCATCAGCCCGGTGGAGACACTACCGCCCGAGGAAACCGCCCCAGTTCTGTGAGGAGGCCTGGGATCCTGCTGGCGTTCGGGCAGGAAGAGAGCTTCTGGGGGAGGATACACAGCCACGCTGCGATGAGAAGGAAAGGTTCTCCGTGTTCCGGAAGGAGCAGGGCGTGTGCACCTCACTCTGCAGCGCCCGGCGCAGAGACGCACCTGCACTCATGAAGGAGACTCAGCAACGTGAATGCCTCTGCCTGACTCTGCTGTCTGAAGGAAGGATTTTTGTTTGTTAGTCCTCACCCGAGGATATTTTTAAAAAATGTTTTATTGCTGAAACCGGTGTGGCTCAGTGGATAGAGCCTTGGCCTGTGGACTGAAGGTCCCAGTTTTGATTTTGGTGAGGGGCATGAAGCTTGGTTACAGGCGCATCCCCAGGGGGGGTGTGCAAGAGGCAGCTGATCGATGTTTCTCTCTCATCGATGTTTCTAACCATCTCTCTCCCTCTCTGTAAAAAGATCAATAAAATATATTTTTTAAAATATTTTTTATTGATTTTTTACAGAGAGGAAGGGAGAGGGATAGAGAGTTAGAAACATTGACAGCTGCCTCCTGCACACTCCCCACTGGGGATGTGTCCACAACCAAGGTACATGACCTTGACCGGAATCGAACCAGGGACCCTTCAGTCCGCAGGCCGACACTCTATCCACTGAGCCAAACCAGCTAAGGCAGGAAGGATTTTTTTACTCCCAGATCTCATAGCTATTTCTTCAATCTGCTCCTAGCAATAGGCAATTGACAAAATTGTTGAGGGGATGGAGAGAGAAAGAAATAGCTAAAGAGGAGTCTGCAGTTCCCTAATGGACTAGGGGAGAGTGCTGAGGTTTCGGCGGTTTTCATTCTAGCGAGTGGGAGCCCAGAGATCCAGGGCAGACAGATGGCAAGGCTCCCACAGAACAAGCCTGGGGGAGGGCGCTCATCAAGGGCGAGTCATCCTTCACAGGCCCTCCTCCGATGCATTTGTCCCCCACGCACACCTTCAGCAAAATGCAGGAAGCTCCCCCCAGAGCGAAGGGCCTACAACATCGCCTCAGAAATCTTTACGTAGAAACATTTAGGCACAGCATGCGTGCTCAGGGGTCACTGATGGAGTTGTGGGCGCGATCCCCAGGAGGGGACTCGCAGAAGACAGCCGGTCAATGATTCTCTCTCATCTATTTCTATCCCTTCCTCTCTGCATCCAATAAAAAGTGTTCTAATCTCACACACACAAAGAAAGACAAAGGGGAGCCTGGAACTCGTAGCCCTTGTCTCTGCCCAGAGCCCTTTCTCCTGTGCGGCCCTCTAGGTGGGCACGGGCACTGGGCTGCCTCTCCCGCTCTCATTCCCAACGCCTCCTCCCCGCGTCTCCCAGCCCGGGGGGGGGGGGGGGGGGCTCCGGGGAGACGGAGGCCGAGGCTGCCCCGCTCCAGGCAGTGAGTCCTGCGCTGGCAGGTGGCTGGAGCGAGGTCCGGACACCCAAGGCGGTGGCGCCATCCCGGTCGGGCAGTGCAAGAACCAACCGAGCGTGCATAAGTAGGTGGAACCGCAAACTGATGTTTCTCCCTTCTCTAAAATCAACAAATAAAATTCTAAAAGCAAAAATAATTCTTCCCCAGTGGCTACCGTCAGCCCTTTGTCAGCGCAGCTTCACGGCTTCCGGGGTGCCCGGTCCTCGGCCGGCTCCCAGCCCAGGCGCTGCCAGGCGGTGCGGCCCCGCTCGGGCCGGTGCTCCGCCTTCCGGGGCTTGTTTCCCAGTTGCCTGGCAACAGCGGCTCCGGACGCCGCCGCCAGCTCCGGCCCCGGACACGCGCCCGGATTGGCTCCAGACCCGGCCCGCCTCCGGCTCCGCTGGCCCGGCCTCTGCTCCCCCCGCCCCGAGGCTCCCGCCCCGGGACGCCCCGCGGAGGCAGCGGTCCTCGAGGTAGGACGGGCAGGGCCAGGATCCTGGGAGGTGGGGACGGGCTGGGATTTGTGTCCCCAGAGGATGGAGAGGAGGCTTTCTGCCTAGAGCCCGGCGTGCAGGAGAGACCGCGCCGCCCGCCCCACGGCCTTGCCGGGTCCAGGAGCCCGAGGACGGCGGCTGCTGAAAAGTGAGCCGGATCTGGAGCCCAGACCGCTCCCTCTAGGGACCAGGAAAGCACCCCTCGCCCAGGTCTAAGTTCCTGCCCCGCACCCTCCCCAGGACAGCACGGGATGCCACCTAAGACCAGGAAAGGAAGGATGGAAGCTGGCGCGCAGGCCCAGAGAAAGAGCGCCGGCCCTGGTGAGTCCGTGGGTGGAGTGGGCGCCTCCAGGCGCAGCGGGGGACCGGGCAGCTGTGGACGGAGGGCCACGTGCTGACTGACAGCTCAGGGGCAGCCTGCGTGGCCGCTGGCAGACTCAGACCTAAAGCCACCACAAGGATGGTCTGAAAATGAACAGGTTATAGTGGGTAGTCATGTCCTAGGCTGATATTTTTCCTGACAAAGATCAACTTTCCTGAGCCCATTGCCTTTTAGCCTCTAAGATAACAAATCTGTGAAATGTCTGGTAACTTGTCACTTCCCTTTTTCCAGACCCTCTGGGGCACAGCCTGATGTGCTGGGCGCCAGGACAGAGACCACAAAGTCCTTCATTACCGTGTTAATTGTCCCTGCACCCACCTAAGGACGTGCCCATCATTTTACTTTTTACCCAACCCAGGGTTTCCCGCTTTGCTTTCTCCCGCCTCTCCAGTCTGTCACCAGTGGATTTCATGTACCCACCGTGCCCCTCCTCTGAGGCAATGTATGAACACAGGTGGAACTCGCCATTCTCAATCCATTGAGGTTCTGCTAGCCGGCTCATGTCCACAGTTTGGCTCAAATAAACTCACAAAATTCTTTACAGGTTTCAATGTTTTTTTGGTCCCCTCCCCCCCATTAATACAGCCGTGCTCCAGAGAGAAGCCAACCCACTGCACCACAGATGGAGCTTGCTTTCCTTTCTTTCTTTGTTTTTTTAATATTTTTCTTGACCTCAGAGAGGAAGGGAGAGGGAGATAGGAACATCAGTGATGAGAGAGAATCCTCAATGGCTGCCTCCTAAACACCCACACTGGTGATGGACCCTGCACCCTGGGCCTATGCCCTGACCGGAATCAGCTGTGACCTCCTGGTTCATAAGTTGAGTCTCAAGCTCTGAGCCCCGCCGGCAGAATGGAGCTTTCTTGACCCTCCCCCTTCATACCCTCACACCCAGGTCCCACGAAGCCGGGAAGGTGGGAACACTGGTACACACCCACCCACATCCCCCTGGGAGCCCTCTCTGCTCTGTGCCTCCTTACGCATTCACTCCCCGCGTCTGTGCTGGGCAGGGAAGACTGGGGACCAGGGAGCCCTCCCAGAGCGGCCTGGTCCTCCCGCAGGAAGAGCCGAAGCTGCGGGCGGGGGGCGGGCCAGGGTGCTGAGGCTGTGCCGTCTGGGCAGGTGTGCAGGCGGAGCCCACTGGCAGGCTGGCCGCGCTGGAGAGGGAGCTCTCCGGGACCTGCTCGGTGAGGACAGAGCCGGCGGCGAGTCCGCATCCTTCTCTTTAAATGTACTTTATTGATCTCCGAGAGGGAGGGAGAGGAAGAGACAGAAACATCAGTGATGAGAGAATCACTGGCCGGCTGCCTCCTGCACGCTGCCGACTAGGGATCAAGCCCGAAACCAGGCCTGTGCCCTGACAGGGAATCAAACCCTGACCTCCTAGTTTATAGGTCGATGCTCAGCCCTGAGCCACTATCCTGAAGGGCTTGGAGGGTGGGGCCTGGGGAGGGGGGTGCTTAGCTGACCTTCAACATTCCCTAATGGGAAAGACAGTCACAAGCGGGGGTTGTGAGGAAGGGGTGGGCAGTGAGGGTAAGGAGCCAGAACAGAAAGGGAGTCTTTGCTTCTTAGCAGCAAAGAGCCTGTCGGATGGGGAGATGGGGGTGGGCAGTCAAAATGAGAATTCGACCCCCCCAACAGTTTTGGCTCAGTGGATAGAGCCTGCAGACTGAAGAGTCCCAGGTTCGATTCCCGTCAAGGGCATGTATGTACCTTGGTTGCGGGCACATCCCCAATAGGGGGTGTGCAAGAGGCAGCTGGTCGATATTTCTCATCAATGTTTCTAACTCTCTATCCTAACTCTTTGTAAAAAAAATAAAAATTAAAAATAAACATTTCAATAAAATACATTAAAAAGAGAGAGAATGAGACTGGCGGGAAGCCGCTGCCAGGCGCCCGGAGGGGCGCAGTGGGGCCTGAGAGTCCGCCCTGTTCCCAGCCCTGCGGAGGGGAGAGGCCCGCCCAGCCTCGGCTGCGGAAGACCGGCTGAGGCAGAGGCTGCAAGGGCTGGAGGCTGGGCTGGAGGAGGCGCGGAGGGAAGGGCAGGCCCTCTATGCAGGTATGTGATCGCCAAGTGGGGGCGGGCGGCGGCAGGGGCTGGAAGAGGACGAGCAGAGGCCAGAGGGTGCGGGAAGGGAGGCCAGGCCTGGGCTCAGGCTTCCCCGCAGCCAGATGGGCAGGACCCGGAAGGAGAGGAGGGGCGGGGGCCGCCCTGTGCCGCCTGTGGGTTACAAAGTGCAGTCTTCGCTGTCCTTTCACTGCCCTGGGAGGGAGCCGGCACGGAGCCGGGCTGCTTCGTGCTGGTTCCCAGGTTCTTCCCAGAAGCACCACGAGGGCCATAGGCCATGTGTTCTGGTCCCACGGACCAAAAGAGCCGTTCTCCCCCCTTCTCCTCCCTCCCCTCCTCCTCCCCCCCCTCGCACCCTGGCTGCTCACTGCCCCACAGAGATGAGCCGCTGGTGCCAGGCCATCCGGGAGGAAGCGGAGACGCACAGCGTGCAGCAGGAGGAGGAAGCCAGAGGCCTGCGGGAGCAGCTCGGTAGGGTCCCCCAGCCTCCCTCAGAGGCCCGCCAGGGGCGGCCTGAGCGGCTGCCTAGAGGGTCTTTCTCCAGGAGACTGCAGTCCCTGCTCTTCAATCACTTTCCCCCACAACTCTCCCGCCTTCCGGGCTGGGACAGAGGGTGCAGGATGTCAAAGGTCTTAAGTTATCATAAGATTTTAAACAAAAATCTGACCAGCATGGCTCAGTGATTGAGCGTCTACCTTTGAACCATGAGGTTAGGGTTCAATTCCTGGTCTGGGCACAGGCCAGGGTTGCAGATTCAATCCGCAGTGTGGGGCCTGCAGGAGGCAGCCGATCACTGATTCTCTCTCCTCGTTGATGTTCTCTCTCTTCCTCCCCCTTCCTCTCTAAAATCAATATATATATATATTAATCTCAAGTAAAGAAGACAAGTCCCTCACCCCATTTCACCCTTTCAATGGCCCCTCCAAACCCAGCTCACCCTCCCCCCACTGCATGTCTCTCCTAAGCAAAACACAGCCCCTCAGTCTGGCTGGCTTTGGCTTGTGTACTTCCTTATCTCCTAGGCCTAAGCCCATGGTCGGCAAACTAAGGCATGAGAGCCACATGCGGTTTTTTGGCCCCTTGAGTGTGGCTCTTCCACAAAACACCACGGCCGGGGCGAGTCTATTTTGAAGAAGTGGATTTAGAAGAAGCTTAAATTTTAAAAATTTGGCTCTCAAAAGAAATTTCAGTCATTGTACTGTTGATATTTGGCTCTGTGGACTAATGAGCTTGCTGACCACTGGCCTAGGCCATTGTGGAAAATGGCTCACTTGTCTGAATTTCAAATGTTGGACTGGGAAACAGAGCATGGTGAAATGAGACCTTTTTTTTTTTTTTTTAAGTTTAGATTATTCTGTCAGCTTTTTCCCCCCTCCTTTTCCCCACAGCTCAGACATATGCCCTTGACCAGAATCAAACCCAGGACCCTTCAGACCATAGGCCAATGCTCTATTCAATGAGCAAAACCAGCTGGGGTGAAAATGAGACATATATATATATATATATATATATATATATATATATATATATATATATATATATAATTGAATTTTTATAGAGAGGAAGGGAGAGGGATAGAGAGCTGGAAACATCGATGAGAGAGAAACTTCGATCAGTTGCCTCCTACACACCTCCCACTGGGGATGTGCCGACAACCAACATATATGCCCTCGACCAGAATCAAACCTGGGACTTTTCAGTCCACAGGCCAACGCTCTATCCACTGAGCCAAACCAGCTGGGGCGAAAATGAGACTTAATAACACTAACGAGAGCAGTCGCCCACTGTCCAGGCACACACGTGGGGCAGGGAGCACAGCCTACTTATTCAGTCCCTCCTCCGGGTCCTCATTGGCTGGGTACTATTGGTCACCTGTTTCCTAATACATTGCCCAGATCTTGCTGTCTCCTCTTGGGCCATTTAAAACATTGGGCTGAGGCCTGTCTAGCTGCCTCCACCTCCTGTCTGGCTGAGGAGGGCGCCTGGGGGGTTTCTACCATGTGGGCCCACATGCACAGCTCTTTGCCCCCTCCTCCTCCCTGCACTCTGCCTGCCCTGGGGAGTTCAGTAAATTCCATCAAAAGTCCACCTTGCTTCCCTGGCTGGTATGGCTCAGAGGATAGAATGTCAGCCTGCGGCCTCATAGGTCCCGGGTTTGATTCCAGTCAAGGTCACATGCCTGGGTTGTGGGCTGTATCCCTAGTAGAGAGCATGCAGGAGGCAGCTGATCAATGATTCTGGGTCATTGATGTTTCAATCTCTCTCTCCCTCTCCCTTCCTCTCTGAAATCAATAAAAACATATTTTTTTAAAAGCCTGCCATGCTAGAGATGGTCACAGAAGTCCATTCCCTTTACCGTGGTGGATTCTAAATAACTTTTTGCTAAATAAATGATTAAACCTTCCAAATAAGCAAATACTAGTATATTTTAAAAACAGGAGTTTTTGCTCTCTTTCCTCTTGGTTACCAGATAGAGTTGCAATAGGTTAGCATGGCATACAAGGTTTCTTACCACTTAGCCTTCAAAGTTTTCTTACCTAAAATAGTGTTAGTTCAGCTGGAGATGATTCCGGAGTTGTTTATCTGCTAGGCAGACCCTGAATTCCTTCCCTAATCTTTGCCTGAGCTCCGATGTCAGGGGAAGCGTTGTGTACAGAGCACCTCTCGGGGCTTCGCATGCTGCACACCCCGCTGTTCACAGCGGGCTCCTCATGGAGTGGGTGACGGTGTCTCTTCTGTTTAACCCTCACCTGCGGATATGTTTACTGATTTTTAGAGAGGAGAGAGCGAGAGAAACATCCATCAGTTGCCTCCCATCTGTGCCCTGACTGGGATTGAACCCACAACCCCTTTGTGTACGAGACAATTCTCCAACCTACGGAGAGCCCGGCCAGGGTGTGACATTTTCTCTTTAAAGATGAAGAACTGAAGCTCAGAGAGCCATGCCCAATGCTAGGCAGGAGTAAGTGACAACCAGGGAGGGGACCAGATCTCCGGTGCCAAGCCCTCCGCTCTCCGCTGCACCTGAACAGAACTTCAACTCCCTGTAGGAGCCTCAGGAAAGCCGCGGACCCGGGGGGGTCTGGAAGAATCCCTCTAAGCCCCACTTTGGGGGCCGCGGGAGACTGTTCAAGGGCAGAGCGTCACCACCCTGTCCCTTCCATCCTCTGCCCACTCCCCAGAGATGCGCCGGGCAGAGACTGTGGCTGCGCGGGGAGTGGCCGAGCAGGCCCTCAGGGAGCGGGACCAGACTCGGGCTCAGCTCCAGACCCACGTGTCAGACCTGGAGGCCACGTGTGAGGAAATCTTCCATGTAAGCGCACCCTCTGAGCCCAGCGCTCCCCATCACTGCAGACCAGGCAGAGCAGATCCCACAGGGAGCTCTGCTCCATCTTGAGGAGATGCACCCATGCCCCTGACTAAGACCAACCACTTTAAGAAAATGCTGACAAGGAAAGTGTCTAGACCCACCTGGGCAGCCCTCATGCTCCCTCTTCCTTTCTGGAGCCTGAGAATTGATGTCTGCAGGGCAGCCTGGACCGGCTCCTGGCTGAGCTGAGAGCCCTTGAGCCTCCGTGGGACGGCATGGGGCTGAGACTCCACGCCAGGCACCGGGAGCAGCTCTGGAAGCTTGGACTCAACCCCCTGGACCTGTGAGGCTGTGGCAAGCAGTCTCCGGGGTCCCTGCAGCCCTGTAAGAAAGCTGCCTTGGTGTAGAAGTCAGCAGAACTAGGGGCTGAAGCTTTCTGGTGAAGATGAGTGCCTCTCGTGGACACATCTGGTTCTGGGCTGCCCATCAGCCTGACGAGCGAGTGACGGAGAGAAATCTGACAAGGTCTTAGACCCTGACCTAGGCCCTAACCTTGGCGCCTGGCCCTGCCAAGGCATTAGGGGTGAGTTAATTAAATGTCTGACCAAATACAGCAGGCTAGTTGTTATTTTCAAATATATCTTCATTGATGTCAGAGGCTGGTACATGAAAATTCATGCACTGGAAGGGGGATCCCTCAGCCCAGCCTGCCCCCTCACTGTCCGGGAGCCCTTAGGGGCGGGAGGCAACTTGGCGATCAGAGGAAGGTGATGCCCCATCACACCTCTGCTGCCGCCACTGCTGGCAGCACAAGCTTCAGCCGGCCCTGATTACCTGAGCCTCAGGTGGCCCTGGGTGGCTGGGCAGCCGCCATCCAAGGCTTCCTGTGCCTCAGGCTGGTCCTGGGCAGCTGGGGGGCTGAGCGGACTGGGGAACTCTGGAGGCAGGCACACAGGGCAGACCTGGCCATGCTGCAGGCCTGTCACCCCGATGGGGCTGAGAGGACTGGGTGCTGCCATCTTGTGGCTGTGGGTGCTGCCATCTTTGAGGGCGTGGCAGTCAATTAGCATATTCCCTCCTAATTGGCTGTGGGCATCACCATCTTTGTGAGGATGTGACGGTCAATTAGCATATCCCTCTTTATTAGATAGTATTGATTTCAGAGAGGGAGAGGGAGATAGAAACATCAATGATGACAGAGAATCATTGACCGGCTGCATCCTGCACGCCCCTCTGGGGACGGAGCCCACAGCCTGACACACTCAGCCACTGAGCCGCACAGTTGGGCTAATTTTTAAAAAAATATGTATTTTATTGATTTTTCACAGAGAGGAAGGGAGAGGGATAATTAGAACTATCGATGAGAGAGATACATTGACCAGTTGCCTCCTACATACCCCCCTTTGGGAACGTGCCCTCAACCAATGTACATGCCCTTGACCGGAATCGAACCTGGGACTCTTCAGTCCACAGACCAACACTCTATCCACTGCGCCAAACCGGTTTCGGCATGGGCAGGCTAGTTTTTTTTTTCAAATATATATTTTATTGATATTTCACAGAGAGGAGGAAGGGAGAGAGATAGAGAGCTAGAAACGTCGATGAGAGAGAAACATCGACCAGCTGCCTCTTGCACAGCCCCTACCGGGGATGTGCCCGCAACCAATGTACATGCCCTTGACCGGAATCGAACCTGGGACCTTTCAGTCTGCAGACCGACGCTCTATCCACTGAGCCAAAACGGCTTTGGCGGCAGGGTAATTTTTAAGTTGACAATTTTGTATGGCCCTTGAATGATTTTATAAATATCCACATGGCCCTGGGCAGGAAAAAGATTCCCCACCCCTTGAGCCTGGGGCTCTTTTTGCCCCTTCGAACTATAGCCTCCGACCCTCACCCATACAAACACAGGCAGCCAGGATGGTGGGGGAGGCCATTCTGTGATAGGCCAGCGGTGGTCAGGCCCCAGCCCGCAGTCCTGTGGGGCTCACAGAGGGACTGTGTGACTGGCCTCCCAACTCTTGCAATCCATTCAGGAGTCCTGCCCAGGGCAACTTCAGATGGCTTCTAGCTGGCCCCAGGGCCCACCGGCCACGGACAAGGGAAAAGTCTGCGTTTCTCTCTTTGAAAACACGTTCAGTGAGACTTCCGATCACCAAACATGGAAGGGCTTCCCCACGGTAAGGCATTTTTTTTTTTTTAAAGTGAGGCCCAGACTTGAGCTTTTTTTTTTTTTTTTTTTTTTTTTTTTTTTAACATATTTTTATTGATTTTTCACAGAGAGGAAGAGAGAGGGATAGAGAGTTAGAAACATCGATGAGAGAGAATCATCGATCAGCTGCCTCTTGCACACCCCTACTGGGGATGTGCCCGCAACCAAGGTACATGCCTTGACTGGAATCGAACCTGGGACCTTTCAGTTCGTAGACCGTCGCTCTATCCACTGAGCCAAACCGGGTTCGGCCCAGTAAGGCATTCTCCACCTCTTCTGTGGATGCCAAGTTCAGAGTCCCACACTGAACTCAACTCTGACTACCTAGAGACGCTCAGGGCGAGGGCTCAGTTCCAGACACCAACTCAGGCACAGGTGGTCGCCGGCGCTTCTGGCCAACGAGCTGTGTGTGCATCAGAGCTTCCCATGCTCCCCACCATTTGCTAGAGGGCTCACAGAATGCAGGGACAGTCTGCTCACTGGTTACCAGTTTATTACCGGATACAGTTCGGAAACAGCCGAAGGCAGAGACGTGTGGAGCTGGGTGTGCGCAAGGGAAGGGAATGCCCGCCCGCTGCGGCCCCCTCCCCTCCGGCACCTCCACGTGCGCTGGTTTTCATGGAGGCTTCACGCCGGCGGGGCGGTGACATCACTGGGGCTCGGTAGAGCCCGGGCCTCTCCCCTCTCCAGAGCCCAGCAGGGAGGGTGTGGGGGGGAGGGAGAAAGTTTCAACCCCATTGGTTCCCCTGGCAACCATTCCCTCCCCATCCTTAGAGGCTTCCAGAAGTCACCTCGTTCACAAAATTCGGTGCCAGAAGCATTTTGTGAGTGACAAAAGGCCCTGGATTGCTCTTATTGCGGGGGAAATTCCAAGGGTGGCAGGAGCTCGGTGCCAGGGTGAAGACCACTTGTGTATTTTGATCACAAATCCCGCCACTCAGGCAGGCAGCTTCCTCCTGGGCTGGCGTCCAGGCCTCCCACATGGCTTCCTCGGGAGGCGGAGGGAGGGCCGCGGACCCACCTGAGGCCTCCGACCACCCCCTCTGGGGAGGAGGGGCGCTGGGCAGCCTGTGACTGTCCGGCTCCTAGAGCCCCAGTTCCAGCGTCCAGAGCTCCGGGCCCCCAGCTCTGCTGGAGGGAGGCAGCGGAGCAGCGGCCTGCGCGGCGGAGGGGGGCAGTCCGGCAGGTCCGCGGCTACAGCCCGCTCCTGGCAGGGGAGAGGGGAGGAGGCCGCTCACCACGGAGGGGCTTGGCCCGAGCACGCTGCACTGGGATGCCCAGGATGGGGCTGCTGCAGGGTCCTGCCCGCCCCTGCCATGGCCTGGAGTCCATGCCCACCCTGCCCCCGCTCTGCCCCCTCTCAGCCCCTCCCCAGCTGTCCAGGCCCTCCGCCTCTCCGGGGTCCCGGGACCCATGCCTACCAGCCCTGCGGAGACCCGGCCGCCAGCCGCAGGCATAGAGGGGGCTCGGCCTCGGCCAGCCGGTCCACGTCCTGCTCTCCGTCCACCGGGCGCCCGTTCACCTCCAGGATCTCGTCTCCCGGCTGCAGCCCCGCCCGGGCCGCCGCGCCCCCTGGCGTCACCTGGAGGCGGACGCAGCTCAGCAGCCGGGCGAGGGCAGCCAGCCGGGAGGGAGGCCCGCCGGGAGGGAGGGAGGCCCGCCGGGAGGGAGGGAGGCCCGCCGGGAGGGAGGGAGGCCCCGTCGGGAGGGAGGGAGGCCCCGTCGGGAGGGAGGCCAGGAGGGAGGGAGGGAGGCCCGCCGGAGGGAGGGAGGCCAGGAGGGAGGGAGGGAGGCCCGCCGGAGGGAGGGAGGCCAGGAGGGAGGGAGGGAGGCCCGCCGGAGGGAGGGAGGCCCGCGGTGGCAGCCTGGAGCTCCTCACCTGCGCGATGGAGAGGCGGGGCCCGCAGGCCTGGTAGCTGAGGCGGAAGCCGTAACCGCCGCCGGGCCCGGGGTACAAGCTGCACCGGCGGGAGCCCTGGCGGGAGCCACGCGGGGCGGGAGGCAGGGCTGCGTCCTCGCCGGGCGGGTCCTCGGGCTCCGCGCCCTCCAGGAAGAGGAGCGGGGACAGGCGCACCTGCGGGCGGAGCACACGCCTGCCGCCTCCGCCCGCCCGCCCCGCCCGCCCCCTCCCCCCCGCCTGCCCCGCCCCCGCCCGCACCCCCGCCTCCCCCCTCTCCCCCCCGCGCACCATTCGGAAGAAGCGGTCCGCCTCAGGGTCCACGACGGTGAGAGCCACGCGGGAGCCCTGGGCTCGGATCCTGGACACCGTCTCGGCATGGCCCAGCCCCTCCACGCTCTCCCCGGCCACGGCCAGCAGCCGGTCCCCGGCCCGCATCCCAGCCTGGTCGGCCGGCAGCCCCGGGTCCACCTCCCGCAGGAACTGCCCTGAACAGACACGCGGTTCCTCCCGGTCCGCCGGGCACGCGCGGCCCCCCGAGGTCAGGGCGGGCGCAGCCTGGGGCCCCTGAGAGGTAGGTGCGCACGGACACTGCGCCCCCCGACCCCGGGCTCCCACTCACCGAGGCGACCGCCGAGGCCCTTCTCCTCCCGGAGCAAGAAGCCGAAGCCCCGGGGCCCTTTCCGCAGGTGCAGCCGGCGGGGCCCGGCGGGCAGGGCGCAGCCCTGGGCCAGCGGCGCGGCCAGGGGCATCCCCAGCCGGCGGCACTGCTCCTCCACCTCCGGCGCCGCCACCAGCAGCGTCACCTGCGCGCCGCTCCCCCGCAGCTGCGGGACCCGGCGGGCTCAGAGGGGGCGCCCCCCAGCCCCGCGGGGCACCGGGGCTGGAGGGCGCACCCCGGGAAGGGAAGGGAAGGGGGTGAGGATGCCAGAGCAGACCAGGGGTCGGGGCCGCGGGACGGAGAGGACGGGCGCTGCCTACCCTCCTGCGGAGCTGGCTGTGCGTGAGCTGCTCCACGCCGAGCCCGTTCACCTCCAGCAGCCGGGCCCCCGGGGGCACGCCTGCCCGCTCAGCGGCCCCTCCGGGGCTCAGCACCAGCCAGAAAGAACCTGGATGTTCTGGAAGCCCCCCCCCCCCATAAATAAATAAATAAATAAATAAATAAATAAATAAATAAATAAATAAATAAATAAATAAAAGCTAGTGAGTCTGGCTGCCCAGGGCGGGGCTGAGACCCCGACCGCTCCCCCACCCGAGCCTCGGAGCTCACCGTGGGTGACACTGAAGCCAAAGCCACCCTCGTCTCTCACGACGTGGCACAGCCGGGGCCGGACCCCGGGGCCGAGGGGGGCGCAGAGCAGGGCCGGGTCGCGCGCCGGCGCCGCCGCCACCGCCAGCAGCACCCGCGGGCCGCTGGCCCGGATGCGGCGCGCCACCTGGACAGAGGGCGGCGGTGGGGCCCGGCGCCTGCACTCCGCCGGAGCCAGCCCTCCGCACGCCTCCCCACGGCGATGGGCACCCCCTCCCCGGGGGCGGGCTGCGGCCTCACCACCTCCAAGGCCTCGTGCGCCACCGCCTGGTCGTTCACCGCCAGGATCCGGTCTCCTTCCCGCAGACCCTGCCGCTGGGCCGGGGCGCCGGGCTCCACCCCGCACACCGCGGGGCCGGCCCCGCCCGCCTCCCGCCGGAGCTGGAAGCCGAAGCTCCCGCCCTCCTCCTTGCTCAGCAGACAGAAGCGGGGCCGCTCCGGGCAGAGCCAGGCGTCTGGGCAGCAGAGACGGGGAAGGGATGTGCCTGGGCACCACTGGGCGCTGGGCAGGGTGGCCTCCTCCCGTCCCCGTGGTCACTCCCAACCGAGGCCACTGTCCGAGGGAGCGGTCAGGGACGGGCCTGCGGACACCTCCAGGGAGGGGGCGGCTGCCGGGGCGGCGAGAGGGTTACCAGAGGGGCCATGGTCTTCCGCCAGGGACAGGACAGGATTATCAATGCCCAGCTTTGGGTTAAACTCAAACTTCCTGCAATGAGAGCCAGGCCACTGGAGATGCCCCTGCCAGCTGGGGCCCCTCCCCCCCCCCCCCCCCCCCCCCCGCCCGGGCACCACTTACAGGGTGAGGGGAGCCGCCTCCTGGAGACCTGCTGGGCGGAAGCGGGAGGGGAGAAGCGCATCTCTCATCGCTCCGCGCTCACTGAACGGGCTGGGGGGACCCCAAACCCAGAACTGACCCTCCATTCTGCTCCCTCCCTCCCCTCCCCCAGGCCAGGGCACAGCAGCCTGAGCCGTCCGGGTCGGCACAGGGTGTGGACCGGGAAGGCAGAAGCGTCCACACACACACACACACACACACACACACACACACACACCCGGGGCTCCAGGCCCCGCACCTGTGCCCTGCTCCCCAGCCTCAGCCCCCCGCCCCGGCGGCTCCGCGGTCTCCTGGGCTCCTCCGCTCCTACCTGCCGCTGCCTCCATAGCTGGCCAACAACCCGGCGCTCGGAGTGGGGACAAGGTCCATGGGAGTCAGCTGATCTTCCCTCTTACCCCCCGTCCCGCCTCCTTGAAGACGCCGCTTGGAGCGGAGGGGGTGTCCCGGGAGCATGCCCGCCAGGGCCCCTGCCCCGCCCCCGGCGCGCGGCACCGCGGGCACCTGTCCCCCCCCCCCCCCCGGGGGCCAGGGTGCGGCAGGGCTGGTAGGAGTCCCACCCCAACACCTCAGGGGACCCCGGCCCTCGCGGCCTTTGAGCCTACGACCTAAGGACCATCTGCGACAGGAAGCGGTCAGTCCTTCCATCCCAGGAAGCACAGGCGGGCGCGGGTGGGAGCGTTTAATGGGGGAGAGGGCGCTGGGCCCCGAAGGGAGGCGTGAGGCTGGGGGCAGCGCCGGGGTCCCAGAAGGCACTACGGCAGGGTGGGAGCCCCCACACGGAGACGGCACCTGGCAGGGCAGGTGGGAGAGGGGCGCCCCCTGGTGGCAGAGGCTCCTCGGAGGAGAGGGCCCGTACGTGGGGTGCCACAGGCAGCTGGGCCACGGAAATGCCCGTCTTGTCCTTCCGCCCCACGGCGAGGCCTGGAGACCGACCTGGGAGGACTGGCGGGACCGGCTCCGGAGGGCGCGGCGGTGCCAGTCCCGGCCCCGACCTGGGGCATCTCCGCGGGGCCGGGAGCGGCCTGGCGAGCCTCAGCGGCCAGGGCCGCCCAGCCGCCCCAGCAGCGCCGTCACCTCGCCCTCCACGCGCAGCAGCTGGGCCTTGCGCCACGGGTTCAGGGTGGCGCCGCGGTTGTCCTCCAGGTCCCGCAGCAGGAGCTGGAGGTGGCGCCGCACGCGGGCCCGGTCCCAGCTGTGGAAGTTGCGCTGGACTTCGCCGAGGATCACCGACCAGTACTGGGACACGGCCGCGCCCTCCGTCAGCGACACTACCACGCGCGCGCGGCCCTCCGCCGCGTCCCCCAGGTCCCGCAGCACCTGGCGGCCCTCGGAGCTGAGCTCGTTGAAGTAGAGGCTGCGGAGAGGGGAGAGGAGGGCGAGCCGTCAGCAGGCGCAGAGCCAGGGCAGGGCCGGCGAAGGCAGGGGGCTCGGCCCAGCCGCGGCGGAGAAATGCCATGGGTGTGTCCTCGTGAGCCCAGAGGAGGGGGTGGCCATGGAGGCAGGGACGCCTGTAGGACTTGGTGGGAGCAGGGACTAGGAATGTGGCCATCAGAAGCTAGACAAATGGGGGTGGGGCAGGGCAGGGGAAGGGCCCGTGGCAGAGGGAAGGGCTGGCTCCCAAGTCGGTGGGCACCACTCAGGGGCCAGGAAGAGAGGCCAGGCCAGGCCCCTGCCCCGGAGAGAAGCCCCCTGAGCGGCAGGAGCCCAGGAGGGGGCAGCGGGGGAGGGGGACAAGACTCACTGCAGCAGCTGCAGGGACGGGTGCTCCCAGGCCGCCTTGGCCAAGGCCAGGGCCGCGGAGTCGCCGGCGCCGTTGTAGGCCACATTCAGCTCCTGCAGCTGCTGGTTTCGCTGCAGCTGGGCAGCCAGCAGCTCCAGGCCCTCGTCCCCGAGACCCGTGTGCAGCAGGGACAGGTGTGTCAGGGAGGTGTTTCCCGCCAGGCCCTCCACCAGCGAGGCCGCCCCTGCGGCCGTCAGCGGGTTGTTGGACAGTCTGCAGCCACAAGCACCCCAAGGTTACAAGGGCCCGTGGCAGAGACCCTGCGACGGCCTGGACACAGAACTGCAGGCCCAGGAGGGAGAGTGGAGACTAGCGGGGTGGCACCTGCAGAGGGAGAGGGCAGGAGCCGGCTTCTCTCCTCACCCCCCCTTCCCACTCCCCTTGCTGACTCCCTCTCCCCTCCCCCCTCTCCCCTCACCTCCTCCCCAGAGCCCCACCCTTCTCGCCCTCCCTCCTTTCTCCTTCCTCACTGGCCTCCCCTCACTTCAACCAGGAGTCTGGGTTCCTAGTAAGTCAGTCAACTCTGGGGGCATCAACGGAGTGCCCAGCAGGTCATCCTTGAGAGGCGACACACATCCACTGGCCTGGGCTCTGGTCCAAGCCCTTCCCCTCTCACGTTAATCCCATGAGAGGCTCTCTTAGCACCTACTGCTGGTGGCATCTCACCCGCCCGCCCTCCTGCTTGTCCTGGACCGGGACACGTTGAGGTGAGGAGCACACCCCTGACCTCAGCTGGCCGCCAGCGCGCCTGGTCCTCCCGCAGCTGCCCCATCCCCACCCCTGCACTCACCGCAGGGTGGTGACTTGGCACTGGCTGTGCAGCAGCAGCTCTCGGAGGTCCCTGCAGGCCTCCGGGCCCAGGCTGTTGAGCTGCAAGCTGGAGCAGGGGTGGCCCGAGGGGAGAGAGAAACCAGAGTTCAGCCGAGGCCTATGTCTCTCCACGCTGTCCTCCATCCTATAGCCTGTCCCCTCCGCCCACACCCACGTCCCCCCCGGCCCTTGGCCCTTCCTCAGTGCCCCGGTTTCCCTGGCACCCTCCCCTCCCACCTCTTCCCCTCCAGCCCCTCCTCCCTTCTGCCCGAGCCCGAGGTCCTCACCCCAGCTTCCGGGCACGCAGGAGGACGGGCATGAGCGTGCGCAGCCCCGCAGGGTCCAGCTGGCAGGAGGCCAAGTTCACCTCGTCCAGAGCATGCCTGCCGCTGCCCAGGACAGCCGCCACCACCATGCACTTGCGGGGTGTCATGCGCACGCCCGCCAGGTCGAGCCGGCGCAGGGAGCGGAGCACCGCGGCAGAGAAGTGCTGGTTCTGGAACTCGTAGTGGAAGAAGAGGTGGTCCAGGAGCTCGGAGGCGGGCAGCGCTCGCCGGCCCAGCTTGCCCAGCTTCTCCTTGATGGCCTGGGCGTTCTCCAGGGCATCCAGGTTCCTGATGGGGCAGCCCAACTGGGCCAGCATGGCCCGGTTCTGGGCGGAGAGAAGCCCCCCCATGAACATGGGGAAGAGCTCGAAGACCTCGTCCCCGGGGGCCTCGCCGGGGTGGCGCCGGGGGCCCTCCAGGCCCAGGATGCTGGCGCCCATCTGGTCCAGGACGTCATCGTTGTGGTAATCCTCCTCTCGGAACATCTCCAGCACCATTGCCTGGGCCACCGCCTCTCGGCTCTTCCCCACCATTCGCCCAAACACGCGTGGGACCACCTGGGAGGAAGGCAGGCGCTGCGGCTCTGTCCCCCGGCCAGCCGGCGTGCCTCCTGCACACGCAGCAGCGTCAGACCGTCACATGACTCCCTGGCTGCGACCCCCCCTCACCCCCCCAGAATAGAAATAGGCTCTGCTAACGGCCCCATGTGGTCTTCTCAGTCCCCCCTCACCCACGGCCTCATGCCCTCCACACACATCCTCCCTCACGGCCCGCACACATCGCCCAGGAGGGGTGGAAGGAAGCACAGAGAGCATGCAGTCAGCGTGGAACCGGCTGTATTGTAAATACACCCCATCTTCCACGTCATCCTCCGGCCATGACTGATGTCACGTCACTCCTCAGTCAGCCGGCATCTGGTCCCCGCCAGCTCCCTGCGCCTCGGGAGGTGCTCCCGCCAGTTCTCTCTGCCGGCCCCTCCGGGGCCAGGCTGCCTGCCCTCCCGCCCAGGGGCTTTCCTACCGGCCGCCCCGCCCTGCCCCGCACTGCTGTGCAGCGGATGCCGGTAGGTTCCATGGTGATGCTGGCTAATTCCACGGTGTTCAGACCACAGGACGGGAAAACGCAGGAACCGGTCTGTCAGCCTAGCGGTGCCTGGCACCCGGCAGGCAGGCCAGTGCCGCTCAGGGGAGAAAGTGGGGGCGTCTGCAACCCCACACTGGTCTGGCAAGGACAGGAGGCCCTGCTCCGGCCGGGGCCCCCAGGGCAATGGCGCCTCTTACAGGATGGTTTATTTCACTTTTTCTAGGCGAGACTCCACCACGGAGGGTGCTCTGGCACTGACACCAGTGGTGCTGGGACAGGAAGGCTCCCTCGGGTCATGAAGAGGGCGGCTGCCCTCTGCGCGGCAGCTCCCTCTGAGGGCCCTGGCCGCAGGCACTGCCTCTGAGGAGATGCGTGAGCCGGGCTGGTCGCTTGGGCCTGTTTTCATGTTTAACAATTAAACACATCCTCACCTTGAGGATGAACTCATTTCGTCCCCCATTAGGCGGTGAGACAGGTTCTGCCACTGTCCCCGTCTCAGAGGGCAGGACCGAAGTGAGTCAGAGGAATGGAGGCGTGAGAGACCTTCAACGAGCTAACCATCTCCAGCAAAGTCCCCGCTCAACAGACATGCTGAGACCCTCACAGTGAAACTTCCGAAGGTGGGCAACCAGGCCCGGCGCGGCTCAGGGCTGAGCATGGACCTAGGAGCCAGGTCAGGGTTCCAATCCCGGTCAGGCACAGGCCCAGTTGTGGGCTCCATCCCCAGTGTGGGGCCTGAGGGAAGCAGCCAATCCACGGTTTTCTCTCATCACTGATGTTTCTCTCTCCCTCTCCCTTCCTCACTGAAATAAACAACAAAATATTAAAAATAACAATAATAAAGGTGGGCAATCGGGAATGAACAGGGAGACGAGAAGGGAGGAAGTGTGAAGGGGCACAGGCACGGCCCTGCGGCTGGGAGCTGCCAGCTCTGCCGGAGAGGAGAGGCCGTGGGCAGTGGCAGCTCCTTCCTTCTGCTGGGAGGGGGCAGCCTGGCAGGGCCAGTGGAGTGAGCGGCAGCCAGCAGACACCTCGCAGAGCACAGGGCACCGAGCACTGAGCACCAAGCACCGAGCACCAAGCACAGAGCACAGAGCACAGAGCACAGAGCTTGGTGCTGTGTTTCAGACAAAGAAATGGAACCACAGAGCCCGCTGCCACTCAGACAGCAATGGGAGAAAAAGGGGACATATGTAATACTTTCAACAATAAAGATTTATAAATAAATAAATAAATAAATAAATAAAGTCCCTGCATCCTCAATTTCCCCTTCCAGCCTCCAAGCCTTTCCCAGCCTGTGGCTTCTCTCCGCCCTTCTTAACGCCCAGTCCCGCCAAAAGCCACACTGGCCTGGCTTGTATGGCTCCGTGGCTGGGCATTGACCCAGCCACTGGTTGGATTCCCGGTCAGGACACATGCTCAGGATGGAGGCTAGATCCCCAGTAAGGGGCGGGCAGAAGGCAGCCTATCAATGATCCTCTCATCATAATCTCTCTCTCCCTTCCCCTTCCTCTCCCAAAGCAGTGAAGTAAAATAAAGCCACACTGCCCATCACTGCGGGGAGCAGCCTTTCCTTCGGGGCGGGAGCCGGGAGCTGGGAGCCAGGTTACCTTCAGCAGGTTGAAGAGCACGGGCAGGATGCGCAGCGGCAGCAGCTTGGCCAGGATGCCCAGGACCAGGCTGACGTCCTCGCCGACGCGGCCGGCCAGCTCGGCCACATCCTTGACCACCCGCTGCAGCGTGGTCTTGCGCAGGCCCAGCACGATGTAGAGCGCGGCCAGATACTCCTGCAGGGCGGGCACCGTGAACACGAAGGTGCCCGGGTGCCCCGGCTCCACGCACGGGGCCAGGAAGAAGCGCAGGGCGTCGGCGCGGAAGCTGTGCAGCAGCTGGAACTCCTCCTCCGAGCGGACGCCCGCCTCCAGGCAGCCGCGCACGTCCTCCTCGGAGAAGCGGGTCCTGCGGGAGGACACGCCCTCGTAGGCCAGCTTGCCCATGGTGCGGGCGGCGTAGGCCATCAGGGACAGCGGGGCGGGGTCGCCGCCGGCTAGCACCTCGCCGCCGAAGTTGAGGCGCAGGAAGCTGGTGTAGATGCCGGTGAGCGTCTGGCCGTCGGGCGCGGGCGCGTGCAGGAAGTGCAGGGTGGCGCACACCAGCCAGCAGTAGGAGGGCAGGAAGCAGGCGGCCGTGATCTGGTGGTGGCCCTCCAGGTTCCGCGAGAGCATCTCCACCAGGCTGTCCCGCTGCGCCGCCGTGGGGCCGCCCGCGCCCGCGGCGCCGGGCCCGCAGTCCGGCTGGTGCAGGCGCAGCTGGAAGTAGAGCTTCTGCAGGCTGGTGTCGGAGAAGCCGCAGATCTCCCCGTAGCGGCCCACGTACTTGCTGGGGATGCGGCCCACGACGGAGGGCCGGGTGGTCACCAGGATGCGGGCCTGGGAGAGCGGCAGCAGGATCAGAGCCCTCCTACCCGGATGGCTCACTCCCTGGGGCCTGAGGACCGTCCCGGGGGGGGAAGGACGAGGATGCACACCTTTGGGCCCTGCACCTCCCGGGGGTTGCGCCTCCCAGGGCCCGCAGCCCCGGGCTCACACCTCCCCGGGCTCACACCCCCTGGCTCACACCCCCCGGCTCACACCCCCCGGCTCACACCTCCCGGCTCACACCCCCCGGCTCACACCTCCCGGCTCACACCCCCCGGCTCACACCTCCCGGCTCACACCCCCCGGCTCACACCCCCGGGCTCACACCTCCCGGCTCACACCCCCCGGCTCACACCCCCCGGGGCTCACCCCCCCCACCCAAGCTCACACCCCCAGGCTCACACCACCCGGCTCACACCTCCCGGGCTCACACCCCCCGGGGCTCACACCTCCCGGCTCACACCCCCCGGCTCACACCCCCCAGCTCACACCCCCGGCTCACACCTTCTGGGCTCATACCTCCCGGCTCACACCTCCCAGCTCACACCCCCCGGGCTCACACCCCCCGGCTCACACCCCCCGGCTCACACCTCCCGGCTCACACCCCCCGGGCTCACACCCCCCGAGCTCAGACCCCCAGGCTCACACCACCCGGCTCACACCCCCGAGCTCACACCCCCAGGCTCACACCACCCGGCTCACACCTCCCGGGCTCACACCTCCCGGCTCACATCCCCCAGGCTCACACCTCCCGGCTCAAACCCCCCGGGGCTCACACCCCCCGGCTCGCACCACCCGACTCACACCCCCCGGGGCTCACACCCCCCCCGGGGCTAACACCCCCGGCTCACACCCCCCGGGCTCACACCCCCCGGGGCTCACACCCCCCCCGGGGCTCAAACCCCCCCCGGGCTCACACCCCCGGCTCACACCCCCGGCTCACACACCCCGGGGCTCACACCCCCCCTGGGGCTCACACCCCCGGCTCACACCCCCCAGGCTCACACCCCCTGGCTCACACCTCCTGGCTCACACCTCCCGGCTCACACCTCCCGGGCTCACACCCCCAGGGCTCACACCCCCCGGGGCTCACACCTCCCAGGGCTCACACCCCCCGGCTCGCACCACCCGGCTCACACCCCCCGGGGCTCACACCCCACGGGGCTCACACCTCCGGCTCGCACCCCCCAGGCTCACACCCCCCCGGCTCACACCCCCCGGGCTCACACCCCCTGGCTCACACCCCCCGGGCTCACACCTCCCGGCTCACACCCCCCCGGGGCTCACTCCCCCCAGGCTCACACCCCCTGGCTCACACCACCCGGCTCACACCTCCCGGGGCTTACACCCCCCGGGGCTCACACGCCCCCGGGGCTCACACCCCCTGGCTCACACCCCACAGGCTCACACAACCTGGCTCACACCCCCCGGCTCACACCCCCCAGGCTCACACCTCCCGGCTTACACCGATCGGGCTCACACCCCCCGGCTCACACCTCCCAGGCTCACACCAGCCGGGGCTCATACCCCCTGGGCTCACGCCCCCCAGGCTCACACCCCCGGGCTCACACCCCCGGGCTCACACCTCCCGGCTCACACCCCCCGGCTCACACCTTCTGGGCTCACACCTCCCGGGCTCACACCTCCCGGCTCACACCTCCCGGGCTCACACCCCCCGGGGCTCACACCCCCCGGGGCTCACACCCCCGGCTCACACCCCCCGGGGCTCACACCCTCCAGGCTCACACCCCCCGGCTCACACCACCCGGCTCAGACCCCCCAGGGCTCACAACCCCCGGGGCTCACACCCCCCGGGGCTCACACCCCCCGACTCGCACCCCCGGGCTCACAACCCCTGGCTCACACCCCCCAGGCTCATACCTCCCGGCTCACACACCCCAGGCTCACACCCCCCGGGACTCACACCCCCTGGCTCCCACCCCCCAGACTCACACCTCCCGGCTCACACCCCCCGGGGCTCACACCCCCTGGCTCCCACCCCCCAGACTCACACCCCCCGGCTCACACCCCTGTGCTCACACCTCCCGGCTCACACCCCCAGGGCTCACACCCCCAGGCTCACACCTCCCGGGCTCACACCTCCCAGGGCTCACACCCCCCGGCTCACACCCCCGGGCTCACACCTCCCGGCTCACACCCCCCGGCTCACACCCCCTGGCTCACACCCCCGGGCTCACACCTCCCGGCTCACACCCCTGGGCTCACACCTCCCGGCTCACACCCCCAGGGCTCACACCCCCAGGCTCACACCCCCAGGCTCACACCTCCCGGGCTCACACCTCCCAGGGCTCACACCCCCCGGCTCACACCCCCGGGCTCACACCTCCCGGCTCACACCCCCCGGCTCACACCCCCTGGCTCACACCCCCGGGCTCACACCCCCCGGGGCTCACACCCCCCGACTGGCACCCCCGGGCTCACAACCCCTGGCTCACACCCCCCGGGCTCATACCTCCCGGCTCACACACCCCAGGCTCACACCCCCCGGGGCTCACACCCCCTGGCTCCCACCCCACAGACTCACACCCCCCGGCTCACACCCCCCGGGCTCATACCTCCCGGCTCACACCTCCCGGCTCACACCCCCCGGGACTCACACCCCCTGGCTCCCACCCCCCAGACTCACACCCCCCGGCTCACACCCCCCGGGGCTCACACCTCCTGGCTCACACCCCTCGGGCTCACACCCCCCGGCTCACACCTCCCGGCTCACACCAGCCGGGGCTCATACCCCCTGGGCTCATACCTCCCGGGCTCACACCCCCGGGCTCACACCTCCCGGCTCACACCCCCCGGCTCACACCCCCGGGCTCACACCTCCTGGCTCACAACCCCCGGCTCATACCCCTGGGCTCACACCTCCCGGCTCACACCCCCCGGCTCACACCTTCTGGGCTCACACCTCCCGGCTCACACCCCCAGGGCTCACACCCCCCGGCTCACACCCCCAGGCTCACACCTCCTGGGCTCACACCTCCCGGGGCTCACACCGCCCAGGCTCACACCCCCCGGCTCACACCTCCTGGGCTCACACCCCCCGGCTCACACCTCCCAGGCTCACACCAGCCGGAGCTCACACCCCCCGGCTCACACCTCCTGGCTCACACCTCCCGGCTCACACCCCCGGGCTCACACCCCCCGGCTCACACCCCCCGACTCACACCTCCCGGCTCACACCTCCCGGCTCACACCTCCCGGGCTCATACCCCCCGGCTCACACCCACGGGCTCACACCCCCCGGCTCACACCTCCCAGGCTCACACCAGCCGGGGCTCACAAGCCCCGGCTCACACCCCCCAGCTCACACCCCTGGGCTCACACCTCCCGGCTCACACCCCCCGGCTCACACCCCTGGGCTCACACCTCCCGGCTCACACCCCCAGGGCTCACACCCCCAGGCTCACACCCCCAGGCTCACACCTCCCGGGCTCACACCTCCCAGGGCTCACACCCCCCGGCTCACACCCCCGGGCTCACACCTCCCGGCTCACACCCCCCGGCTCACACCCCCTGGCTCACACCCCCGGGCTCACACCTCCCGGCTCACACCCCCGGGCTCACACCCCCCGGGGCTCACACCCCCCGACTCGCACCCCCGGGCTCACAACCCCTGGCTCACACCCCCCGGGCTCATACCTCCCGGCTCACACACCCCAGGCTCACACCCCCCGGGGCTCACACCCCCTGGCTCCCACCCCACAGACTCACACAACCGGCTCACACCCCCCGGGCTCATACCTCCCGGCTCACACCTCCCGGCTCACACCCCCCGGGACTCACACCCCCTGGCTCCCACCCCCCAGACTCACACCCCCCGGCTCACACCCCCCAGGCTCACACCTCCTGGCTCACACCCCTCGGGCTCACACCCCTCGGCTCACACCTCCCGGCTCACACCAGCCGGGGCTCATACCCCCTGGGCTCATACCTCCCGGGCTCACACCCCCCGGCTCACACCTTCTGGGCTCACACCTCCCGGGCTCACACCCCCGGGCTCACACCCCCGGGCTCACACCTCCCGGCTCACACCTCCTGGCTCACACCCCTCGGGCTCACACCCACCGGCTCACACCTCCCGGCTCACACCAGCCGGGGCTCATACCCCCTGGGCTCATACCTCCCGGGCTCACACCCCCGGGCTCACACCCCCGGGCTCACACCTCCCGGCTCACACCCCCCGGCTCACACCCCCGGGCTCACACCTCCTGGCTCACAACCCCCGGCTCATACCCCTGGGCTCACACCTCCCGGCTCACGCCCCCCGGCTCACACCTTCTGGGCTCACACCTCCCGGCTCACACCCCCAGGGCTCACACCCCCCGGCTCATACCCCCAGGCTCACACCTCCTGGGCTCACACCTCCCGGGGCTCACACCGCCCAGGCTCACACCCCCCGGCTCACACCTCCTGGGCTCACACCCCCCGGCTCACACTTCCCAGGCTCACACCAGCCGGAGCTCACACCCCCCGGCTCACACCTCCTGGCTCACACCTCCCGGCTCACACCCCCGGGCTCACACCCCCCGGCTCACACCCCCCGGACTCACACCTCCCGGCTCACACCTCCCGGCTCACAACTCCCGGGCTCATACCCCCCGGCTCACACCCACGGGCTCACACCCCCCGGCTCACACCTCCCAGGCTCACACCAGCCGGGGCTCACAAGCCCCGGCTCACACCCCCCAGCTCACACCCCTGGGCTCACACCTCCCGGCTCACACCCCCCGGCTCACACCCCTGGGCTCACACCTCCCGGCTCACACCCCCAGGGCTCACACCCCCAGGCTCACACCCCCAGGCTCACACCTCCCGGGCTCACACCTCCCAGGGCTCACACCCCCCGGCTCACACCCCCGGGCTCACACCTCCCGGCTCACACCCCCCGGCTCACACCCCCTGGCTCACACCCCCGGGCTCACACCTCCCGGCTCACACCCCCGGGCTCACACCCCCCGGGGCTCACACCCCCCGACTCGCACCCCCGGGCTCACAACCCCTGGCTCACACCCCCCGGGCTCATACCTCCCGGCTCACACAACCCAGGCTCACACCCCCCGGGGCTCACACCCCCTGGCTCCCACCCCACAGACTCACACCCCCCGGCTCACACCCCCCGGGCTCATACCTCCCGGCTCACACCTCCCGGCTCACACCCCCCGGGACTCACACCCCCTGGCTCCCACCCCCCAGACTCACACCCCCCGGCTCACACCCCCCAGGCTCACACCTCCTGGCTCACACCCCTCGGGCTCACACCCCTCGGCTCACACCTCCCGGCTCACACCAGCCGGGGCTCATACCCCCTGGGCTCATACCTCCCGGGCTCACACCCCCCGGCTCACACCTTCTGGGCTCACACCTCCCGGGCTCACACCCCCGGGCTCACACCCCCGGGCTCACACCTCCCGGCTCACACCCCCCGGCTCACACCCCCAGGCTCACACCTCCTGGCTCACAACCCCCGGCTCATACCCCTGGGCTCACACCTCCCGGCTCACACCCCCCGGCTCACACCTTCTGGGCTCACACCTCCCGGCTCACACCCCCAGGGCTCACACCCCCCGGCTCACACCCCCAGACTCACACCTCCCGGGCTCAGACCTCCCGGGGCTCACACCTTCCGGGCTCATACCTCCCGGCTCACACACCCCCGGCTCACACCCCCGGGGCTCACACCCCCTGGCTCACACCGCCCAGGCTCGCACCCCCCGGCTCACACCCCCCAGGCTCACACCTCCCGGCTCACACCCCTCGGGCTCACACCCCCCGGCTAACACCTCCCGGCTCACACCAGCCGGGCTCATACCCCCTGGGCTCACACCCCCCAGGCTCACACCCCCCGGCTCACACCTTCTGGACTCACACCTTCTGGGCTCACACCTCCCGGGCTCACACCCCAGGGCTCACACCCCCCGGCTCACACCCCCGGCTCACACCCCCGGGCTCACACCTCCCGGCTCACACCCCCCGGCTCACACCCCTGGGCTCACACCTCCCGGCTCACACCCCCCTGCTCACACCCCCCGGGCTCACACCTCCCGGCTCACACACCCCCGGCTCACACCCCCCGGGGCTCACACCCCTCGAGCTCACACCCCCCGGCTCACACCCCTGGGCTCACACCTCCCGACTCACACCTCCCGGCTCACACCCCTGGGCTCACACCTCCCGACTCACACCCCCGGGCTCACACCCCCCAGCTCACACCCCCAGGCTCACACCTCCTGGGCTCACACCTCCCGGGGCTCACACCCCCCGGCTCACACCTCCTGGGCTCACACCCCCCGGCTCACACCTCCCAGGCTCACACCAGCCGGAGCTCACACCTCCCGGCTCACACCTCCCGGCTCACACCTCCCGGCTCACACCCCCGGGCTCACACCCCCCGGCTCACACCCCCCGGACTCACACCTCCCGGCTCACACCTCCCGGCTCACACCTCCTGGGCTCATACCCCCCGGCTCACACCCCCGGGCTCACACCCCCCGGCTCACACCTCCCAGGCTCACACCAGCCGGGGCTCACACCCCCTGGCTCAAACCCCCCAGCTCACACCCCTGGGCTCACACCTCCCGGCTCACACCCCCCGGCTCACACCCCTGGGCTCACACCTCCCGGCTCACACCCCCAGGGCTCACACCCCCAGGCTCACACCCCCAGGCTCACACCTCCCGGGCTCACACCTCCCAGGGCTCACACCCCCCGGCTCACACCCCCGGGCTCACACCTCCCGGCTCACACCCCCCAGCTCACACCCCTGGGCTCACACCTCCCGGCTCACACCCCCCGGCTCACACCCCTGGGCTCACACCTCCCGGCTCACACCCCCAGGGCTCACACCCCCAGGCTCACACCCCCAGGCTCACACCTCCCGGGCTCACACCTCCCAGGGCTCACACCCCCCGGCTCACACCCCCGGGCTCACACCTCCCGGCTCACACCCCCCGGCTCACACCCCTGGGCTCACACCCCCCGGCTCACACCCCCCGGCTCACACCCCTGGGTTCACACCTCCCGGCTCACACCCCCAGGGCTCACACCCCCCGGCTCACACCCCCCGGGGCTCACACCCCCCGGCTCACACCCCTCAGGCTCACACACCCCCGGCTCACACCTCCCGGGCTCACACCCCTCGGGGCTCACACCCAGGAGCTCACACCCCCAGGCTCACACCACCCGGCTCACACCTCCCGGGGCTCACACCCCCCAGCTCACATCCCCCAGGCTCACACCCCCCGGCTCGCACCACCCGGCTCACACCCCCCGGGGCTCACACCCCCCGGGGCTCACACCCCCGGCTCGCACCCCCCGGGCTCACACACCCCCGGCTCAAACCCGCCCGGCTCACACCCCCCGGGCTCACACCCCCTGGCTCACACCCCCCGGGCTCACACCTCCTGGCTCACACACCCCCGGCTCACACCCCCCGGGGCTCACACCCCTCGGCTCACACCCCCCAGGCTCACACCCCCCGGCTCACACCCCCCGAGCTCACACATCCCGGCTCATACCACCCGGACTCACACACCCCCGGCTCACACCTCCCGGGGCTCACACCCCCCGGGGCTCACACCCCCCGGGGCTCACACCCCCCGGCTCACACCCCCCAGTCTCACACCTCCCGGCTCACACCCCCCGAGCTCACACATCCCGGCTCACACCACCCGGACTCACACACCCCCGGCTCACACCTCCCGGGGCTCACACCCCCTGGCTCACACCCCTCGGGCTCACACCTCCCGGCTCACACCCCTCGGGCTCACACCCCCCGGCTCACACCTCCCGGCTCACACCAGCCGGGCTCATACCCCCTGGGCTCACACCCCCCAGGCTCACACCCCCCGGCTCACACCTTCTGGGCTCACACCTCCAAGGCTCACACCTCCTGGCTGACACCCCAGGGCTCACACCCCCCGGCTCACACCCCCGGGCTCACACCTCCCGGCTCACACCCCCCGGCTCACACCCCTGGGCTCACACCTCCCGGCTCACACCCCCCAGCTCACACCCCCCGGGCTCACACCTCCCGGCTCACACACCCCCGGCTCACACCCCCCGGGGCTCACACCCCTCGAGCTCACACCCCCCGGCTCACACCCCTGGGCTCACACCTCCCGGCTCACACCCCCCGGCTCACACCCCTGGGCTCACACCTCCCGACTCACACCCCCAGGGCTCACACCCCCCAGCTCACACCCCCAGGCTCACACCTCCTGGGCTCACACCTCCCGGGGCTCACACCCCCCGGCTCACACCTCCTGGGCTCACACCCCCCGGCTCACACCTCCCAGGCTCACACCAGCCGGAGCTCACACCCCCCAGCTCACACCTCCCGGCTCACACCTCCCGGCTCACACCCCCGGGCTCACACCCCCCGGCTCACACCCCCCGGACTCACACCTCCCGGCTCACACCTCCCGGCTCACACCTCCCGGGCTCATACCCCCCGGCTCACACCCACCGGCTCACACCTCCCAGGCTCACACCAGCCGGGGCTCACACCCCCAGGCTCACACCCCCAGGCTCACACCTCCCGGGCTCACACCTCCCAGGGCTCACACCCCCCGGCTCACACCCCCGGGCTCACACCTCCCGGCTCACACCCCCCGGCTCACACCCCCTGGCTCACACCCCCGGGCTCACACCTCCCGGCTCACACCCCCCGGCTCACACCCCTGGGCTCACACCTCCCGGCTCACACCCCCAGGGCTCACACCCCCCGGCTCACACCCCCCGGGGCTCACACCCCCCGGCTCACACCCCTCAGGCTCACACCCCCCCAGCTCACACCTCCCGGGCTCACACCCCCCGGGGCTCACACCCAGGAGCTCACACCCCCAGGCTCACACCACCCGGCTCACACCTCCCGGGGCTCACACCCCCCGGCTCACATCCCCCAGGCTCACACCCCCTGGCTCGCACCACCCGGCTCACACCCCCCGGGGCTCACACCCCCCGGGGCTCACACCCCCCGGGCTCACACCTCCCGGCTCACACACCCCCGGCTCACACCCCCCGGGGCTCACACCCCTCGGCTCACACCCCCCAGGCTCACACCCCCCGGCTCACACCCCCCAGTCTCACACCTCCCGGCTCACACCCCCCGAGCTCACACATCCCGGCTCACACCATCCGGACTCACACACCCCCGGCTCACACCTCCCGGGGCTCACACCCCCCGGGGCTCACACCCCCCGGGGCTCACACCCCCCGGCTCACACCCCCCGGGCTCACACCACCCGGCTCACACCCCCAGGCTCACATCCCCCGGGGGGCCCGCACCTTCCGGGGCAGCACCTCCCCAGTGTCTATGTAGTTAGTGCCTCTGCCAGCAGCACAACTCAAGAAGGAAACACAGAAAGGAGCCTGGCAAGTTGGTGACTTGTTCAAAGACACACAGCTGGACGTGGTGGGGCCAGGAGGTGAACCTGCCCAGGGTCTCTCCCACCCAATCAATGTGCAAGCCTACCCGGCCGGTGTGGCTCAGTGGCTGAGCATTGACCTATGAACCAGGAGGTCATGGTTAGATTCCCAGTCTAGGCACATGCCCCGGTTGTAGGCTTGGCCCCCAGTGTGGGTGTGCAGGAGGCAGCTGACCCATGATTCTCTCTCATCACTGATGCTTCTAGCTCTCTCTCCCTCTATGAAATCCATAGAAAATATATTTTAACAATGCAGGCCTAAGATACAAAAACTCGTAGGTGGTAAATCGGTGCAGAGGCCGGGAGGAGGTACCCACCTCAGGCAGCATGTATTTGCGCAGCAGATTGACGAGGATGGCAGCCGGCGCCAGCGGCTCCTGGGGGTCGCTGCACAGCCCCGTGCCTGCCAGCCGGAAGTCCAGGTTGAGCCGCTCCAAGCCATGGAGCACAAAGAGCAGGCGAGAGCCCGCCGCGGCCATCAGGGGCAGAACCTCCTTCAGCGCCGTGTAGCGCCGGGCCACCAGCTGGCACAAGGAGGCCGGGCCCGGGCCCGGGGAGGACAGGTCCTCGCAGGAGAAGGGGATGAGCAGCTCGAAGGCCGGCAGCCGCCCGTGGCACCAGTCCAGCACCATCTTGCGCACCAGCGTGCTCTTGCCGGTGCCCACGGCCCCGTACAGGACCACCGTCTGCACGCGGCACCCGCAGGCGTCGGGGTCGAAGAGCTGAGACAGGGCCAGGCTGGAGCGCGCGGCGGGGGGCGGCTGCGCAGGGGACCGCAGTTCCGCAGGCGGGCGGAGCAGCTCCTCGGGCGAGCTCTCGCGGACCACGGGGTCCACGTGCACCGTGTCCAGTGCAAAGGTGGGGCCAAACTGGCGCTCCTCCCGGGGTAGCCGGCTAAACCACTCGGCCAGGTTCCGGCGGTGCCGCTGGACGGCCTCTGTAGGGGAAGGAGAGGGCCTGGGCTAGGCACGGGGGCGGGCAGGGGGGAGGGCAGGCTGCGGAGCCAGCACAGGAGGTGCCATGCATCCCTCAAAGGAGACAGAAAGTGGGCGCCAGGGGATGAGGGATGCTGGGTTCACTGGCTTCACAATTAGATCAAAGGGAAGTCCTTCCAGCTGCCAGGCCAGCGTGCTGAAGGCAGGGAGGGCACCCTGCCCAGGGCTTTGCACATGTGTGCATTGCATGAGCGTTGCAGAAAGGGATGCGCGGACAGATGGGTGATGGGCGAGGGCAGGTGGCCACTGATAGATGATGCCAGTGGTCCTCCATGCCTCTCTCTCCCTGCCTGCTTCTCCCCCAAGCCCCCCCCCACCCCACCTGGGATCCCCGCCAGCCCCTCGCCTCAGGCTGGCCAAGGAACCAATCTCTTTACCAACAGCAGAGATGCTCCGTAACACGGGTCCATGCCTCCCTGACGGGGGAACACTGCCCACTGAGCTTCCGTAGTGATGGGTAAAGGCCCTGGAGCAAGGAGAAGGATGAGCTGGGGCTTGGCTACTGAGCTCAGTCCTGCACCTGCATGGAGCCCAGGCCGGTGGAATGAGGAGCCTCTGGCTGCCTGAGACCCAGGCCCAGCCCAGACACCCAAGTTAAGACTCTGACTCTCACTCCCCCCAGAAACTGAGGTCTCACCCCTCGCCCTCCAGCCGCCCACAGCTGCCTGTCCGGACTCAGCCTGCTCCCTGCCAGACTCCCCCCCAACCCCCACAGACCACCCCCTGGCGGATCACCATGCCAGGTGCTGTAATGATGCTATTTCCTTCTAAGCTCCAAGCCCCAACCCTTCCCAGGCTCCTCGATGCCCAGGTAGATTCTTAAGGTTTGACACCAAGGCCTCACCTAGGGGGGCCAAGGGAACAGCCCCCTTTAAGGGCCCAATTCCAATGGGTCATCCAGAGGATATTTTCATCTGCAGAGAGAAGAGAGAAGAAATAGCATCCAGATCCCACCCATATTTCCCCCCTAGACACAGACCCCTGTCTACACAAAGCCCCTTTTGCTCTTACGCATCACGTCCCGCCCTCTGGGCAGTTACGATGCTATTTTATGTTCTGCCCTGTGGCCAGCCGACTTTCACTTGCACCACCCGCCACAAGAGCAGGGTCACGTCTGTTCTTTTACACAATTACATACTTAGAACTTAGCATAATTATGTACTTGGCACACAGCAGGCACTCAAACAATATCTGCTGTCCCTAGTCGGTGGTGCTCAGTGGTCAGAGTGTCCGCCTGTGCACTAAAGGGTCGTGAGCTTGATTCCTGGTCAAAAGCACATACCTCGGCTGCAGGTTCCCCAGCCCCAGTTGGGTGTGTGCAAGAGGCAACCAATCACTGTGTCTCATGTCTCTCTCTCTCTCTCTCTCTCTCTCTCTCTCTCTCTCTCTCTCTCTCCTCTCTCTCTCTTTTTCCCCCCTCACCTCTCCTCTCCTCCTTATATTCTCTATAGATATCAATGGAAAAATATTCTTGGTGAGGACTAAAATATATATATTTGTTGAATGCAAAATGACATCTGACAAGTGTTCCTGGACTTATGTAGCTACAGGAACCCTCACCGAGGCTGACTCTCCTATTTCAGGAAGGAAAAAAGGAAGCTGAGAGAGATGAGGTCACTTGCCCAAGGCCAACAGCAAGTGAACCCCAGAGCTGGGACTGGCACTCGGTGTCTGAATCCCTGCCCTCTTGGAGGCCCATCTGGACTCAAAAGGAAACAAGAGGTGCAAACAGAACCCCGATGCCTACTTACCTGCTGGCTGAGGTGCTCTTGCCAGGCCAGGTCCCCAAACGGCCCAGGGCAGAGGGCGACTCCACCTCATGGCAGAAGAGAAAGTCCAACCCCGTCCCCTGTGAGGAGAATAGTGTGAGCGGACCACGACTGCGCTTCCCACGCCCACCTGCCTGTGAGGCCAAGGAAAGTCCTTCTCCTCAGGAAAGCTGAGCCTTTCTTGAAATGTCAGCACTGCCACAGCCCTGGCCTGGCCTTCAGAACTCCCTCTTCCACACGCCGCCTGAACGATCCCTTTAACTCCCACCTCCTATGCCTCTCCCCCGAGTCTCAGCCCAGTGAACGGCCAGGCGTAGGGGTGCTTTTTCTGGTCTGACTGCCGGCGAGCTCAGAGGAGTCCTGTGTTCATTTACAGTGATTTTCTAAGCCAGCCTTTTTAGTAATAATTTTTTACTCCCCTCTGCATCCCCCCCACTCCCACCCTCACCCCAGGTATCAGGTCCTTTCAGCTGAGTTTTCAGTTTATGATTTTATCTCCTCTGTGACGTTTATGTATGCTACCTTTGAGGCTGGCCTAAATAATGAATAAATTAAGGAAAACCAAGATGGAAGCATAGGTAAACGCTGGTATTTCCATCTCCCACAACCACAACAAAATTACAACTAGCCCTAGCCAATTTGGCTCAGTGGATAGTGTCAACCTGCCAACTGAAGAGTCCCAGGTTCAATTCTGACCAAGGGCACATGACTGGTTTGGGTTGTGGGCTCAGTCCCCAATGTGGGGGTAGGGGGAGAGGAGGAGATGCAGAAGGCAGATGATCAATGATTCTCTCTCACCATTGATGTTTCTATCTCCCTCTCCCTTCCTCTCTGAAATCAATAACTTTTTAAAAAATTTACAACTAAAATGCCAAACAAACATCATTCAGAACTGCCTGAAACCTGGTTGAATGGAAGTCCTAAGTTAGAGGAGAAGGAAGTGCATTGAGACTGGCAGGAGGGGTGGAGGCACAGAACAGACTGCCTGGCACCCATGTATAGCGTTTTCTTTCATCGGGAGAAAGAGCTCCAAAGCATCTGCGAGAAGCAGGGGACCCAGCCCACACCAGACCCCAGTTCCAGAGCTGGAAAGAGAAGTCCCCATAACGTCAGGCTTTAAAAACCAGCAGGGATTGTGGCTGAGTGACACGGAGATTACTGGAGTCCCAGGTGCTCCTCTTAAAGGGCCCACATATGAACTTACATGCTCTGCTTCCTCCGAGCTCCAGGGCCCGGCAGTGGCTTTAGGGAAATCCAGGGACATAAGGGGAGGAGCTGGACTGTCTGGCAATGGGGCAGGAACTCAGGAGCAGCTTTCTCCAAGACAGGGGTCACTGTCCCTGTGCTGGGACCTCCCCAGTCGCAGAGCTGACTGGAAGCCATATTTGAGTCTCCATCAGCCTGGTGCACACTGTTTGCTCCATCCTGGTGACTTCCTCAGATCCCATCCCATCCAATTTTCAGCCCCACCCACACTCTTTGCAGCTGCTTTTCCATATGAATGGCCTGTCCTGGCTCAGGCTTCAGACTTTGCTAAAATCTATTAAACAAGCAGCAGCTGGAATCAGCATGCCCCAAACCTATCAATAAGAGACCCAAGACCTGCCAAAACCAGTTTGGCTCAGCGGTAGAACATCGGTCTGCGGACTGAAAGGTCCCAGGTTCGATTCAGGTCAGGGGCATGGACCTTGGTTGCAGGCACATTCCCGGTGGGGGGGGGTGCAAGAGGCAGCTGGTCGATGTTTCTTTCTCATTGACGTTTCTAGCTCCCTATCTCTCTTCCTTCCTCTCTATAAAAAATCAATAAAATATATTTGAAAAAAAAAATGAGTTTCATGCTTCCAAACTTGCTTATGGTAACAGTGTTTAAAAAAAAAAAAAAGACCCAAGACCTTCCAAAACCGGTTTGGCTCAGTGGTAGAGCGTTGGTCTTTGGACTGAAGGTCCCAGGTTTGATTCCGGTCAGGGGCATGTACATTGGTTGCGGGCACATCCCCCGTGGGGGGGGGCGTGCAGGAGGCAGCTGGTCGATGTTTCTCTCTCATTGACGTTTCTAGCTCTCTATCTCTCTCCCTTCCTCTCTGTAAAAAATCAATAAAATATATTTAAAAAAAAAAAAAAAAGACCCAAGACCCAGGACTGGCACCAGCCTGCCTTGCTTCACAGCTGGGCCTCACAAGCCCAATATAAGTAGCAGCCACCTGCAGATCTCTCTGTAGCTCCTACTGGGTGGCTCCAGGCAGTGGCTGACTTTGCACCTCCTAGGAGGCCCCAGAGCCAGTGCATCTAGTGGACAGCTTCAGACCATACCAGATTAAAACTCTACACAGGGGTGTCACCTGCACAGTAACTCTTCCATTGCAGATTCAGTTGGTACTCACAACCAATTGGTCTGGAGGTCAAGTCTCCTCAGGGACACTTACCAACAGCAACCAAGGCTCAACTACAAGACTGTGCATACAGCTCACCCAGGGACACACCTAGAATGCCCAGCTCAGGTGACTGAGGAGGCTGAACCACTGCACCCTACAGGATACCTACTACACAAGGCCACTCTACCAATTCCAGGAGACAACTTCAAGCATACCAACATTTGCATAATTGGAGTGCCAGAAGGAGAAGAGAGAGAGCAAGATGTTGAAAATCTATTTGAAGAAATAATGGTAGAAAACATTCCCTATCTGGTGAAAGAAAGAGACTTAAAATCCAGGAAGCACAAAGAATCCTAAACAAGAAGACCCAAAGACATCATAATTAAAATGCCAAGGAATAAAGTCAACGAGAAGCTTAAAAACAGCAAGAGAAAAGCAGTTAGTTAACTATAAGAAAATGCCCATGTGACTGTCAGCTGACTTCTCAACAGGAGGGAGTGGCAAGTGATGAATAGCAATGACCTACCACCAAGATTACTCTACCCAGCCAAGTTATCATTCAGAATTGAAGGTCAGATAAAGAGCTTCACAGACAAGAAAAAGCTAAAGGAGCCGAAACCGGTTTGGCTCAATGTATAGAGCGTCGGCTTGGGGACTGAAAGGTCCCAGATTCGATTCCGGTCAAGGGCATGTACCTTGGTTGTGGGCATATCCCCAGTAGGGGGTGTGCAAGAGGCAGCTGATCAATGACTCTCTCATCGATGTTTCTAACTCTCTCTCTCCCTTCCTCTCTGTACAAAATCAATAAAATATATATTTTTAAAAAGCATACTAAAAAAACTTGTTTATATCTATCTACTAAAAGCAATGCTATATAATTAAAAAAAGAAAAGAAAAGAAAAAGCTAATGGAGTTCATCACCACCAAACCAGTATATGAAAAGTTGAAGGGTAGTCTTTAAGATAAGGAAAAGAAGAAAAACATGAACAATAAAATGGCCATAAATATATATCTATCAATAACTGAATAAAAAAATCAAAATAAATGAACAAGAAATCTAATGAACAAAATAAACAGATTAATAAAATAGAGCCAGAGGCATGGAAACAAGGAACATATTGATGAATCTCAAAGAGAAGGGGTGTGGGAAGAGATTAACCAAAGGTCTTTTTTTTTTAATTTTTAATAAACCTTTATTGTTCCTATCATTACAAAAGTTCCTCATTTTTTTTCCCCTTCCACCAGGTTCCCACCCCACCCTCTGCCCTTTTCCCACCCCCCATTGTCCTCATCCATAGATGCACAATTTATGTTCAGTCTCTTCCTGCACCCCCCATTCCTCTTTTCCCTGAGAATCATCAGTCCACTCCCCTTCCATACCTCTGATTCTATTATATTCAACAGTTACTGTTGTTCATCAGGTTTTTTAATTCCCTTGTTTTTTGTTTTTTTTTGTTTTTTTTATTATTTTTTTATTGGCTTCCAAAGGGGAGTTTAAGGTCAAAAGGAGCTTCCGGTGTGCCCAGATCCCACTCATCAAAATCTGGGTAAGCTCCTTATTTTTTGGTACAAGATTTAGCTTATAGAGACCTGGGTGAGTCAAGGTCCTATTTGTTCCTCATTCCAAGCACATGGATTAAGAAATCAGCACTGATAAGAGGATTCTGCCAGTGCCCTCGGGCTCAGCTGATAAGAATTAAAAGAATGTCCATGTGCCTTCTCCGGTGGCTCTCTACACCTCACCTTTTTTTACTAATTAAAATAAAATTTAAACATCAATAATAGGGTTCTAAAATTAAAAACAATTGCAAACAATGCCAGTGCAAAAACTAAACCACATACATGCTATTTTCTAAACTTGAATGTCAAGAGCAAAACTCTGGCTATTAAATAATAACAACAATGCCGATGCAAAACAAAATGAGAAATAAGATTTATGGACATATTAATATTTTTAGCTACTGAAGGAGTCTCTTTTGTTGCTGGTATAGATTTACTCAGAGTCCTTGGACTTGCTGCACAAGACTTTGCAGAAGACTGGAAGCTAACAGATGCATGAGCAGGAACATGCTGCTCGAGGCCTGGCTGCTGCTGCTCCGGGCCTGGCTGCTCCGGGCCTGGCTGCTCCGGGCCTGGATGCTCTGGGCCTGGATGCTCTGGGCCTGGATGCTCTGGGCCTGGATGCTCTGGGCCTGGCTGCTGCTGCTCCGGGCCTGGCTGTTCTGGGCTTGGATGCTCTGGGCCTGGCTGCTCTGGGCTTGGCTGCTCTGGGCCTGGCTGCTGCTGCTCTGGGCCTGGCTGTTCTGGGCTTGGCTGCTCTGGGCCTGGCTGCTCTGGGCCTGGCTGCTGCTGCTCCAGGCCTGGCTGCTCTAGGCCTGGCTGCTGCTGCTCCGGGCCTGGCTGCTCCGGGCCTGGCTGCTGTCAACCAAAGGTCTTAATGCACATATGCATTACCTATGGACACAGACAATAGGGTGGTGAAGTACTGGGTCCAGGCAAGAATGGAGTAGAGGGGGGTAATGGGGTGATAAAGGGGGGACATCTGTAATACTCTCAACAATAAAGATTTAAACAAGTAAAAAAAATAAGTTAATGAACTTCCTGTTTGACATCTCCAAGTATCCTGCCAATACTTGAAGCTTCACACATGGAAAACTAAACTCCTCATTGACTTCTCTGC